ATTATTCTTCAACCTCCTGCCTAGAGCACTTTATTCCATTCAAAAGTCCTTTTCGAGAAAGTTCTTGACCATCAGATGGGAATAACAAATGAATGACGACCTCAGCAGCTTTCCCGGGACGCGCCATGCATCCGGTTCCAGTTTGGAATCGTAAAACACCGTTCTAGGCAATGGCTTGATGGGTAGAGGTTTTGCAGAATCTAATGAAGCAATCCATGGAATTTGCAGAGAACCTTTCTCATCCATTTGCATTTACTACTTTCACAAGATGCATAATAATTTCCCATTGTCTCCCATACTACAGTATCCAGTTAGTGAAAAGAACGATCAAAATCTAAGTAGGTCTCAAGCGTCTCTAATCATTTAGAAGAATCCGACATTTCTCGTTGCCCCGTAAAAAGTTCTAATTGTCAGTAATCACTTAATAAATACTTAGAAAATTATAATGCGAAATGTCATTTTTTGCAAAATTCACGCGTCCAGACGATCGCTTGAAGACCGCCCCTGTCTGCTAAATATGTTTCATGCCTTCGAAGCCGCCGTATACGTTTCCTTTTTTCTTTCTGCAGTTGCCACTCATTTCCTGCGGAAAAGGAGTGGCATTTCCGTTAGCACCAGCTCGAAGAGGTCCAGAGCTGGGTCCCGTTTATCAAAGGCACTTGACACCATTTCGCTGAAGCCTTGGTCATTTCCTTTCGCGAAAATGATCTGGCCAGATGATTGTCTTTTCACTCACATCAAACCAGTTTCCGGGCACTCCCTGTGCCCACCCCATTCCTGCACTCGATGCCCCCTCCTACGCTCTTTTAAGATTGACAAGTCAGCATAGCGGCAGTTGTCAGGGCTTGGTGTTGACCGAAATTGAATATGAGTGTTCTCAAGTTTTCCTGCTCCGGAATTTCTGGGGGCACGAGAAGATGTTCATAGTGCAATTTGGCATTTCCTCGTGAGATGTTTCGGTGACGAAAACGAGTGCATGGCGCATACCAGAAGGAACATCACAACCCAGACCCACACATCGCTTTCGTGGGATTCAGTCGTTCAGCTGAACAATTTCCTATGCTAGAATTTTCCTAGAACTTCCCTCTTTTTCTAGAAATTTCCTTCCTAGAACTTCATTTCGCTCCCAAATTAATTCGACGGCAACAAATAATATTCATCCTATCCAATGCCCACATCATGCTCTTACCTGACCCTATAATTGCTCAGCTTGCCAAAGTTCAAACATTCCCTAGGGAAAAGTGAGTAACCAGAGATTAGGGTTCCAGACACCCGACTACTTTAATCGTACCCCCAAAACGTCATCCCACTTGTTGTAGCCTTTGAATGTCCTCCCTTTCCCAGATTATGGGATGTCCGCTTAGGCCAAAATGAGGGTGTACTATGGAAAACATTGCTTTATCACCCATTCCTGCTCCCCTGGCTCATCCATACGACAGAGGCCGTGTGATGTGGAAAAGCTGGAGTGTCAGGGTCAAGGAAATGTGACGCCATCTAAAATCGACCCGATAATTTGTAAAATTGAATTTGTTATTTTCATGTACTCCGGCAAATCGTGGCCACATTGATTTCCCTCGATTTTTCTCCTATCCCGGAGCTATTTGAGCATTGTTAACATTCGTCATATCAGCCATATATTTACAATGTAAATCTTTAGTACATCACATGACTCTCGCTCTATTTATTTAGTTCTGGGCGTGGTCGCAACCTCTCTAGAGACGAGATGTCATGTCAATCAATTTTAACTTTTCCATTTCATAGAGCAGTAAATTCAGTTCAATTTCAGGACGTTCCAAAAATCTCAGCGCAATCCTATCCTGTTAGCTATAATGCCTCTATGGTATAAATCTTGTCCTACGCAAATTCGTTTTCGGGTCAATTTTAACAAGATTTCTATAAATCGCAATTTTCTGAGACTCAATTTGGCTTCATCCCGTAAAGCAATCTACTTTTGGTTCGCTGAACAAAAAGTAAGGAATTACAGCCCCAGGGTTCTGTGAAAAGAACCCCCGACGTCCCTGGAAAAGTCGCGTTCCGTTCCGATGCCATTAGAAAATGCAGATTTTTTTCACTCGTCTGCTGAATATCACAGGCTAAGTAAACAAGAAAATCCGAAATTTGCTTTGGAATCAGCTTGGCTCCTTCATAAGTCTGTGTCCAGGATAGCTCCGGGTAAGTCGTCCACTTCCGAACTTCCATAGGTAGGAAACCAAAATATCCAGAATCCTAATTGTCGGATAGTATTAGAGCGGCATTAGTCCCTAGTAATCCCCATGCGGGAGTTGATCTTTATGGAATTCTTTTCGAATGTACTATACCAATGAAAGCCATTCATCATAATGGCAGATGGGATGACTCGAAGACCTTAAAATCAAATCCAAGGGCAGAAAGGGCTTACTCGAAAGTTTGTGATTATTTCGTATTTCCTTATTCTATGTACTTTTATTGAGTTACGGGTTATTGGGTTTTGGGTAAGGACGCCGGATAACCTTCAAAAAAAAAACTAGAACATCCTCGAAACCCTGGCTTTTACGATCTCGTTCAAATCTGTTCTATTTAGGTTGTGATCAATAGTGTTTGGACGAGTTTTCATTCTCTGCAGTTAGTCAAATGTGTTGGGTTGTAATCTATATAAGTTGACCGCGTTTATATTGTATGTGCTCCCTATTTTAAGAAAATAATAATTTAATAATATCAGGCTCTCATGACCATTGAACACGCTCTTTCTAGCGATAGTAGACGGCCAAGGTGACCTCTCAAGGGTCATGGGCTCTGGGCAACTAGAAATCTTCAAAACCACTCTATCGCCAACGTTGCCTTTGAGTGAGCTAACCAGATCTGCTATAGAGCCATCGAATGACGAGAAACACGAAAAATTCAACCAAATACATTTGTAAACATTTTATGAGTCACTGGAGCCCGTTTGCAAACAAACTGTCCTTTCAATGAACGATCAGCGGTAAGCGGGCTTTGAGAGTCTGACGAACAGTCTTTTTGTTCCGATTTGTAATTTTAACATTATTCGCCTTTGGTCCATGTTTCTTTCGATGATTTTCCGATTTCCGGAGGCAAAACTAGGGAAAACCTTTGATTATGCGGACTCTGTGGAGCATTTTCTGCAAAGCTCCATTTGAGGTATGCGCTTTTTCAGAAAATTTTCTCAAATGCCGTTCATATCCATTTCTTCGAATTAAATATGCCCCGTTCCAGTCATGGCTGGACACGCACNACAGGAACTTGTATGAAGTTTGCTCGCTCTTGAATACTCGGTCCTCCAAAATGTTGCCACTGTCTTGCTCTCCAATGTTTTTACAGAACTTTTTCTCAACTAGGAGCTTTCAGCTCTGTTTTCTCTTTCTATAGAGCATATTGATCAGTCCAACCAAGCATAGTCTAAGCAACAATTTTGAGGATACGCCACGTTTTTGACATTCATTAAGAATGATTTTGGCATTTTTGCCTGTAATGGTGCTTTTGATGCTTTTGTGAAGTTATTTCATGCAAGAATGAGCTCATTACTGTCATTACTTTTTGAGCAACTCATGATGGAATTCTCAGATGATTGGAACCTTCATTTGGTGTGAACGTGGTGGAGACAGTACTCTATGGATCATCCAGCATCTTTCCAAATACTCAATCCAGTTGCTCAAATTCTGTCCAGACCACAAAAAACCTTCTGGCACTGACCATAAGTACCGACTAGGAAAATGGGCTCGTCCTAAGGTTGCCCATAGAACCTTCACTACTCCTATTTCAATCCAGACATGATTATGAGTAATAGCAGGTCTGACAATGAAGGAAGTGCGTCATTTATCGTGTTTTTCAACTTTCCTATTAGACGCTATTTCCGAAATCCCTGATTATTCCCACAATTCATGGTCTTTCTGTCTGGCGCACTTCTGTGCAGGCAATTTTGCCCTTGGCAATTTTGAGTTAAAATACCTTTCAGAAAAACTCTGCTATTCCTCCATTGAATCCGAAGCTCCGAGGTAGTTGCCATTGTTGGTGGTGCAAACAAGCAGCTCGATTTATTGCAGATTTGTATGAACCCAACACTTCCCTATCTCACGATTAAACTCACTTTTTCAAATACTACTTGTTTGAGTTCAAAACCTCACTGAGATTCTGTCATCCATTTTTGATATTGGGTTGGTCAGGTGCATGACGTATTCCAGAGTTAGAACAGATTTCTCTTCAAGCTCGTTTGCATTTATTTACCTCCCGTCGATTTTCATTCGTGATTTCTACTGATATACCTTAGAAGTTTGTTTACCTCTTAATTTTTCCCCAAAAAAAGTCTTTTCATCAAGTTCAAAAAAAAACTTTTGTCGAGCAACAGCTCATTGGTCTTTACCTACACACTTCCACATGGTCGACTACTTGTGGTGAGGGAGGGAGATGACTCATGAACCTCAAAAAACCAACCGAACGGGCAAATATAATGGCAAAGTGCAACATTTCATGGATCAAATCTAATCATACTGTTTTCCAGCTACTTATCTTTCTCATTAGTTCCGATCAGCTGACAATCGTACCTCCGTTCACCCTTCTTGTTCGACAGGTTTTCAGTTATCGTCAGTGTATATTTGTACTTCCGCCAAGGGAATTCGATTTGTGGCCATTATAGAAAATGAGAACTCATCGTTCATCGTGGGAATTGAGTCCTTTAAAAGGTTTTTAACATCCTGGACATTTCTATTACCTCGAATGCTCCGCTCAATTCATTGGATGAATAAAGCTTTATCTCCTAAGGGAATACTAACTACTAACCAATAAGTTGTATCAGGCAGCACACAGCACCTAAGGGGAAGCGCACTTCTCACGAACACCCGGGTTTGCGTTTTTACCATCGGTTCTTTTTCCACTTTTCTACCAACTGACCCCTCCTAAAGTAAGTAAAGGTTCGTCGGTTTAATCTCTACTGATTCTAGAAGAACAGCCGCTGTTGAAATGGCCTGATACTTGTGAAAGGTGCTTTTGGATGCAGGTCCTGTTGCCACATGCGTGAAGTTAGGAGAAAAGGTCTGAAGTTTGACTTCAAAGGTGACGAAAGGTTCGCTCAAGCTGAGCAGGGCATTATCCAGGTCCCCACAACCTGATAACGCATTTCTTGTTCTCCCTCTCCCTCACCATCACGGCTCAGCAAGTAGTGATGTCGTTCCAGTACCGTACCAAAGCCCATATTACGATCAACAAATTTTCCAAAGCAGACTTCTAGAAATCTTCGTTTTTTTTCTTTTTTGCTCACTTCCCTTATGACTTCTCTGTTTCTATATATAGTGATTCGTTTCGTTTTGCTCCCGAGCATCGCACAATGTCGATTTTGGTTCCTGAAATGACTCCAGTACCTCCAATACGTAGCGCTTATTTCAGACATGATCGGGTACTTGATGCATAAGCTGCTGTTTTGTGGAGCAGATCCTGGAAACTCGTCCGAACTCTCTGAGCAGGAGATCAATGCTGTAAAGGAAGTGTGGGCAAGGTAAGCGTCACGACATTAACTGAACTAAGGATTTTCTCTGATCTGCTACATAGGACCCGGGCACCTACATTCGCTACATATCCTGGGCATTATTCATATCACAAGGCCTGACTAACTTTCCAAGTAACGGCCTGAAAGGGCGGCTTCCCTATTCTAATGTCAACACGTCCGTTTTTTTTCCTACGAATATGGTAAAAGAATGAGAAGTTCTGCATGGCACTGTATATGCCAATAGTCGTCATGGAAGGCATTTATGCAAGTGTCATCGATGATAATTGATGACGTGATTATAGAAAAGAATCCCCTTAATGCATTTCCCGTTCATGGCATTTGCGGCTACCAGCACACATTTAGCTTGGCAGCTCCTACTTCTTCGAAAATAAAAAAAGATCCCTGATCCTGGAGTGTCTGTAACGTCTGAGCGATTTAGGGACTTTAGAACTATACCTGGAGTATTTTGCCAGGATTACCTGACTCGCCCACCTGAGCTTGCCAGGTGCTCAGGTGGGCGAGTCAGGTAATCCCGGCAAGAATACTCCAGGTAGTCGACTAGTACAAGAGTACTCGACACTAGCTGATCGCAAAAATCTACCTTGCCCTATTTTTTTAGAACATTTTCTGAATAGGGGGGGGGGGGGGAACGACTCAGAAAAGAATTGCGCTAGCATGCCTAAGTTGAAACTTGATGCTTCATCAAGCTGTCATCACCACAGGAGTCTTTTATCTACTGTCTACTTCCTACTTTTGCAAGCATGTACGGTACTTCCTAGAAGACAATCGAAACCCAAAGCGAAGATGAAGAGACTCTTCAGATCCCGACAGTCCAAGCCAGGTAGAACAATCTGAGACGAATTTCAAACCTACCTGTAAAAAGTATAAACGCGATTTGGCTGTTTCAAGCCTTCCAATGCAGTGCAGCTTCAACGAGGTTGGATGTGTAGTAGCTGCAAACCTCATAACCTTCCTATTTCCTTATCAAAAGTTCCGGCAAGCCTTTTAAGGGAAGATTTGAATTTGGTGATTGTCCAATTGATTCTCTCTCTAAACTTATCATTCTGGTCAAAAAACAAAAAATATTTTGCCAGTCAACACCGATGGATTACGCCATGCGCTCTTCTTTGGGACAGTTCCCCACGTCATCTTATTTCATTCCATTTCTCGTGATCGCTACAAAATGGTGGCAGTCATCGTGAGAACACTGATATCACTCAATTTTTGAATTTTTTCATGATATTTCCATATCAATGCGTAGAAATACCTCCGCTATCATAATTGCCTTACTTCTACCCTCTATCATTATCAATTATTTTCTATTATAAGGGCTGTCCTTGGAGACTAATTCAATTTGAAACACCGATTGATTAATTTCTTGGAAATCCCTTCTAATTTGAAGAAAAGAGGGCTGCCACAATATCGCTAAATGAGGCCATTTATCATCGGATAATAAAGTCAGGCGGCAATAATGCGTTATTTATCGATGACGTTTCTAAGAGCTAAGATACCCGGAACAAGGATTGGAGGACTAGAAAGGGAAAATTAGCTAAAACCACTATGAAGTTCACTTTCGATTACAATTCAAATCCACGGAGTTTCATGGATGTGCATTAGCAAGCGTAAGAATTTGCATTTTTGCAATTTCAATCGTCTTTCTCNTAAATGAGGCCATTTATCATCGGATAATAAAGTCAGGCGGCAATAATGCGTTATTTATCGATGACGTTTCTAAGAGCTACGATACCCGGAACAAGGATTGGAGCACTAGAATAGAGAAAGGGAAAATTAGCTAAAACCACTACGAAGTTCACTTTCGATTACAATTCAAATCCACGGAGTTTCATGGATGTGCATTAGCAAGCGTAAGAATTTGCATTTTTGCAATTTCAATCGTCTTTCTCCAAAATGAACACCCAAAAAGAGCGCAGAATTTGACGGTCATTACCATATTTTTATTACTGCCATACTTTTACTATAAGGCAGAGGTGGTGTATTGGTCTGGGGATCGAACCTCGTATCGATATCCGCTCAGGCCGGCCAAGCTTTTCATACTTACGGGGCCGCTTAATTGGTAGCGGCTCGTTTGGGAGAATGAAACATTGACTAGTACTTCAGTTGGCCACCGTTAGCCATTGTATAGGTTATGCTGCCATGCCGCACGCATTCTAGACGCCACTACGATTTTGAATGGGAGTTGCATACGGGGCGCATTCCGAAAAACGAAATTGACTAAAGTTGAAGAGTTATCCCTATATTCCCAATATATAATAACATATAGTGATTACTGTTAGAGTGTTAACAAATACGTCTAGAGGGATAAAAATTGTATTTTAGCAAATTATCCCAAACACATGAGCTTTTGGAATGTTTCATGACTTTTTTCGTAAGGATTCCGATTCGAAAAGCTTCTGCGAAACCTTGCTTTTCGTTACAGTAAGGTCAACAACCACCCCATCATGGCGACTATTCTAAACGAAGGCGGATGCATGGCGCGATCCTCATTGCAAGAGTCAGTTGCTGCACAATGCAGTCTTTAGCCCATTTAGCCATATAACTACGGAGTCAATAACCGGTCCCACAGGGACGGCAAACTCGGTTTTTCCAAATGGGATGCAATAATCACTTTGTCATGAATCTGAAGACCGTGCCCTTGGCCACTAACCTATCCGATCTCAGTGTTGTACTCATCTTCTTTTAGAGCCCGGACTGGCGACATTGGGGTGAAGATTCTCAGTGCTCTTATCGAGAAAAAACCAGCCTTTGCTGTATATTACGGTTTCAAAACGACGGTGGTATCAGCCGATTTGCTAGCAGAAAAGTCATTTATTCTACAAGTAAGCATTTCGCCAGCCGATTCACCATCCCCTTCATTCATTGGGACTTTTTCAGGCACATCGTATACAAGATTTCCTTGAAACTGCCGTCTCTTCACTGGGACTCAGCCCGGACGATGTGATCCATAGGATGTCTTATCGAATAGGTCAAGTTCATTACTACAAGTGAGTTCGTCATCAGATGCACCGGACGGGTTTCTCTTCTCAAAATGGCAAAAATGAACTTCATTCAGGGGAGTGAACTTTGGGGCTGACAATTGGTTGGTGTTCAAAAAAGCCACTATCGAGCAGGTGATGGCCGCACCCAAGAAAGCGTCTATATTCAGGAATGGATCAAACAAGGAATTCAACCTTACGGAGGTATCAAAATGAGTCTATCAAACTCTTTTGAACTGTTTTTTTACAACCCACTCTATCACTGAGATCGAATTTTCATAGAACATCGTCCCTGGCAATGGATTTTGTTGTAGGTTAGACTTTAAGGGTTGTTCAACTCAGTGACTTAGTCAGTGAAAGCATCAGTTGGGTCTCAGTAGACTCGATGTCGGCGCCAAAACACCTTAAATCCCTAACTTGGGCAAAAAATAGCTCTCAGGACATGGGGGTACTTCCAGTTGCTGTGCACTGTGTAACATCGAATCCGCTACGGGTAATAGATTACTGACTTTCCCCCGCTGAAGCGGCGAAACTGATCTCCCCTATCTCACTCTTATGGTCCTTACCTTTGCAAGATAGACCTTTAATACTTATTCGATGCCCTTGAAAAAGGCAAATCTGCTTAGTCATGCCACAACCCAATGTTTTAATGATAAATGGGTCATCATCCGAACTATTCAGAACAATTTCGACACAATCCAAAACGGAAATCAACGACAATATCAAGCTATAGCAGGATGGAACAAATTGATGTCAATGGTGGTCAGGGAAATGAAACGAGGTGAGCCTCATTATCCCGGAGAAGTCACAAGAGCTTGTATTTTTTGTTTGATTCACTTGTATACACTATATACGAACGAAAGCATAGACTAAGTAAGGAAAAACCATGAGGATTAGGAAATCCTCTCTACAACATAGCTGCTGATCCTTTTCACTATCGAGATCTCAGGCGATCAGGCGCTGACGGGGGGGGGGGGGGGGG